TAAGCGGCATGTTTTTGGATGGTGGGGGGAACCCGGGGGAAACACACGTGAGCACGGGGAGAACGTGTAAACTCCACACAGAAATCTCAGCTGGCTTGAAAATGACTAGAACCAGTGACGTTCTTGCTGTGAGGCAACAGTGCTAACCACTGGGCCACCGTGCCACCCGTCTGCAAAAGGAGGAGGAGTAGAGGACAGGGCTCGAAATGAACCTTTTTGCTTGGTAGCACCGGTGCTCCTAACTTTAAAATTTAGGCGCATCAGCCAAATCTTAGTTGCACCCACCAATTATGAGCACCGTTACCACAAGTGTTATACAAACAGATTTATTGCATTTATAATCAAACTAACAAGCAAAAAATATATATGCAAGCGTGAGGAAAATATGTCTCAACGAAATCCAGGGCTGCGTCCGAAACCGCCTACTACTCAGTAGGTGCTGCCTTTGAATGTAAACATACTACTCGGCCGTTAGAAAAGTGCGTTCTATACAGTATGAATGTGAAAAGTATGAATGGAATTCGGAGGTACTACATCCGCCATTTTGTCATGGTCACGTGACCTACCTGCGTCAGTTGTGTCGCCTCACTTCCATTCATGAATTCTCTCACGGGGCATTATGGGATAGCGCAGCGTGCATGGGATGCGCACTTCAGAATCTCGCCGGAAGTAGTAAGTCATCCGGGTACTTCTCGCCTACTGATTTTCCAATTCTATGAATTTGGACATACTACTCAGCTCACATACTGATTTTAGTGTACTGTATAGTATGGAAGTATGCGGTTTCGTATGCAGCCCCGGTATCACAAGAAATAGATTTTTATAACAGAACTGAGTGACCAAAACATACACGGAGCGCTCACCGGCCCTGCACACACTGCTGGACATGAATCTGTTAACGGGATAACTGTGCTGTTCTCACGGGTGCTGTCTGATACTGCACTGATGCTTTTGACATACACTGTACCTTATTATATGCATAACGTTACGTCATGTTAATTTGCCATACCGGTCTTTTTATGAGTAGCGATGTTACTCAGTGTAAGCCCGTTTGCGATGGTGTGTGCGGTGTTAAATTTGACATATATCTGCCACTAGCACGGCGGACAGCATCTGGCGATTATATGAAGGATTAAACAGAAGCTCTCGTGCTAGATGTGGCAAACAGTTACCTGAAAACTCCATCCCACAGACTTTTCATAGCGGACTTAAAGCCAATGGAAATCTTTTATCCACTTTTCGAAAAGTGTAGGTGGTAGATTAACATTCAGCACATGATCACTGGTAAGATGTGTCATTATTTATAACTTTAGATGTCATGGTTTCTAAAATAAAATCTCTCAGTGTTATCTTTATTCTCATCTTCAGCGCTATTCAATTTTTCGCAGTAGCAGCTCTCTCTGTCCCAAGCCAGAAGGCACTGGCTGAGTGATTGACAGCTGATATTAACCAATCATTCGCGTTCAGTGCTAGAGCAGTGGTGGGCCAATAAGAAGAGCGCGAAGGCGGGGCAAGCATTACGGACTTGGCTTTGTTTACTGCAGCAAGTTGACATGACAACTGTTTTAAACCATTCGCGAGCGCTGCGTTTCCCGTTCCAAGTGCAGACAAAGAGCTTAGAGATGCATTCTGTGTGAATGTCTCCCGAATCCGCGCATGTGCTGAACATTTTGCAGTAACACACAACAATTTTAAGCACTCACACAAATGCTCCCAAATATATTTTGAGGTCGCATACATAAAATTTCTGGCGCATATGCGACCAAAATGGTCGCAATTTCAAGCCCTGGAGGAGGAAGGGGGAATTCTTCAAAATGAAGACGGCTGTGATATGCAACTGAGGGTTTATAGTGGCTTAGGAATCGTCTAATTGGTCAATCATGAATTGAATAATGCAGGACCAGCTGCAAGCAATCATAATCCTCGTGATCCTCTCGACATCAGTTTATAAATAAACTTCACTGAGTTTGGACATGTCAGAAGCAGCTTTACAGAAAATAACAGAGAAATCTGATTAAAAATGGTTCAAAATGACTAAAAATGCTATTTGGAAATAGGGATGCAACGATTAACCGGTTTCACTATTAACCGCGCTTTAATTCGTCACGGTTAGTTGATCATGAAGACTTCTCAACACTGTGTTTCCGCATGGAACAAAACTGCTGCAACTTAAAGTGATGCCAACTGAGTGCTAGTTTGAAGTTCTGTGCTTGTACTGTCCACCATGCACACTGGATTAACTATGGCTATTAACTAAGGGCCAGTCACATATCGCGTCTTTTGCACGCAAGTTTGTTATTTCCAATGGAGGCGCGTGGCTTGCATATATGGAGCGACGGACTCTTGCTTTCCAGACGCACCTACTAGTTGAAAGATTGCCGCGATCGCCCTACACTGAGAAAAACAATACAACATGAAAAATACCAAACAATTTTGTTATATAGTTGATCAAAAGGTTCAGCAGCCTTTGAATACATTTCTTCACTGTAAAAGGTCAATACTTAGCTATTATGTAACTTATATTTACTCCTTATTCATTTATTTTATTGATAATAAATGTTATTTATTTATTTAATTTATTTAAAAAATTTATTTTAAATGTATGTATTAGTTTATTTTAAATTTATTATATATATATATATATATATATATATATATATATATATATATATATATATATATATTCATTTATTTTTAATTTATTTACATTTAATTAATTTATTTATTTTCACTTGTTAATTTATAATAATTTATTTACATTTTATTTATTGTATAATAAAATTCATTTAATTTACTTAAAATTAATAAATACATTTTTGTTTATTTGAAGTTTATTTATTTAAATTTTATTTTATTTTGTATTTATTGACATTTATATTCAGTGTAAAATTATTACTTATGTTTAAAACTTTTTTCACTTAGTTTTAAGTCCAAAGAGAAATGGACTATTGTTTGTTTTTTATGATTATTTTGTGTCATGTTTTTTGGTTACTGAGTGAGCAGCAATAAATAACACTTTAATATAAGGAATTTGTTATGTGATTCTTCTAAACAAGCAGTGTTTTGAAATGAATGAATGCATAATAATCATGATAACCGTGATTATTCCTCAGACTATAATCCCCATTTGGAAACACTGCAAACCAAGGCAAAATATTGAGCATCTCTCTATGAAGAACAGTTTTGAAGCTCATATTTGATAAATCTGAAGTATTACTTCTTTACTAAAAGTTATTATCAGTAAAATATTGAAAATAACAGTTGTTTATAGGCTAATGTATTACAACTAGCGATATTATTCAATAATCAATTCATTAAAAAATGACAATGTTAAAATAACAGTTTTTTATTTCCCTAATATTTCCAGCCAGGTTTAATGAATGTGCAATATTGTCAAAAACACAGAACGTTCAGTTTTTTATACGTAAAAAGGCCTAAATACACTCCAGGACACATCAGATATTTAGCTCTTCCCCCATTACTAGCAGCACATCTTAACTGAAAACAAGACCCTGTGTGAAAAATGTTTGCATCCTTACAGCCTGAGCTTAACTCTGATCACACCTGAGAAGATCACAGTAAAAACCCACTACACACAAATGATATATTGAAGAAAATACACCGATCACACGTGTGTATGAGTTTACATGCAGAGGAGACACACCTGTGCAGTGGGATCTACATCAGCAGCTACAACACGTGAGGAGGTGAATGATGCAGCAGATAGAGCATGTACAGATGTGATGCGCCTCTGTTTACAGCCTAAGCGGGTGATGGACCTCTGCAGCCATCCTGTATCCAGTGTTTGAGCTGCTGTCATGCGAGTGGAGTGATCTCCCCTATCTAGTGTCTCATCCAACCTTATGAACTCCCCTGAAAGCTCCTCGAGTCTCCTGCATATTGATAGTGGTTCCGTGATGCTGCTTCTGACCGTGACATGTCCACACTAAACGGTTATAAGAGACGTGTTTAGGGGATTATATGCAGCATCCTTAATTTATTCTCTTGGGTAAGGAGACATCGTCACTAAAGTATCTTTAAGGCAAAAGGTGCTTCATGCAATAACAGAGTTATATAAGGCGTGAAGCATCTGAATCAGTACTCATGTATGTAAATATATATATATATATATATATACAT